ACTGCATTCTGCACAAGTACTTTGAGTACTATGTGGATTAGAAGCTATAATAATATTGATTATTATTATTATTATTATTATTATTATTATATTATTTTTTAACATCAGTTTTCTTTTATTATCACAATGATAAGACAAGATTTCACAAAATACTTTTTTTTCAACTCAGCTGAGAAAACAATTTGCAGCGTTGTGAGAATTTGGTAATTTGTGACATTTTCCACAATTCTGTGTTTTTTCTTCTCCTCATTCCCGACTGCTGTCTGTGAACGCCTCGATGTAACCGTCAAATGAGTTTGTCATGCACGCACGTTCATTTTTCACTTTTTAGGCCGAAATAGAAAGTTCTGAAACTCAATCCCGGTTTATCTGGAAGCGCCAACAGAGAGTTATATCACCGGCAGCGACCATGCAGGGCCACGGGGATGATTTATATCCCGGGAGTTCCCCTCCCCCCCCCCCTCCAGGGGGAGCTGGGGGCGCCTGGCTCTCACTCACAAGTTTTACCACCCAGTCGCGTGAAGCCTGTCACCGCTCACCCTCTTCACAACACCAAACTTCCCTTAATTGATATTTCTAATTCACTGGTAGGACGACGCAGGCGGCCCATAAATCTGGCGTGTTTCCCCGGCTCGCTCTTTAATGATTGCGTCATTATTTCTTGTGCTTGATGGACGATGACGTCAGAGCACAGTTTTTAACACATCTCGGGGTTTATTATTACAACCGTAAAGAATATGTTTAGATAATGTTCGACAATATTATCTTTCCAGGTAACTGTAATTTAGCGTTGCTGTCAGTTCAGATTAATGCTGTCCTTTCTCAACTGGAACATCCCGACCCACCCCGCACAGCTGGAGTTTCGGCCAACAGACTAAACAAATCTTGGATCAAGTCTCAGACAGACAGACAGACATACTGCTCTAGTCTCAGACAGACTGATAGACATACTGGATTTTGTCTGAGACAGACAGACAGACAGACAGACATATTGGCCTTGGTGTCAAAGAGACAGACAGACAGACATATTGGTCTTGGTGTCAAACAGACTGACAGACATATAATTAATTGGCCCTACAGACAGTCAGACAGACAGACAGACAGACAGACAGACAGACAGACAGACAGACAGACAGACAGACAGACAGACAGACAGACAGACAGACAGACAC